TTCTCATCAAACTAATTTTCTATCCTTTTATTTACCAAAGAAAGAAGCATGATCTCTGACCAATCAAGCTAGAAAAAAGTGGCTGCGCTTGTATAAATTGCACATCTTTCCAGTTTTAAGGACATAAATATTCAAACTTTATATATGTTCATAAGCTCCCTCTATTTTTCTATGACAAAAATAGGAAAAGATATGCAGTACTTGTTTGCCCAATTAGAGCAAATACCATACTTATCTATATTTGGTTTGGCATCAGAAAGGTAGAAAAAGTGTAATGGAAAAGAAAGCTATGTAACACAATCTAACTGTAAACATACTTAAAGTCATTTCACATCGGAAAGGCAACAAAATTCACGTTGTTCACACGTCTATGTACCACACTTTCTGTGCTGACATCATTGTGTTATATTGTAATCAGTTCTAAAAGGGTCCAGTTTCTTCTTTAAACCTACCAAAAATCTATTTTCTCACTATTCCCTGGACTAATTCTATCCTCACTCCTCAGAATGTCACTTGTCTCAGTCATTATAACCTCTTCCTCCTGGACTTCCTGCAATTTGCCTCTCTCCACTCCAAGGTATACAGTTGCTAAAATCCTCTCACTCCTCCAAGCACATCACTTAACACCATCTTTGGAATACTTGCACTGGGTTCTCATTTCTTACCATATCATATTCAAAATCGGTATACTCACATAGAAGTCTCTTCATAGTTTTGTTCTCCCTACCTAAAATGTTGATGTTATTTTCTCAGGCAAGGAACATATTATAATATAGATTGATAAACTGTTGTTTATAGAATCATAGAAATTATTGTATATAATAATATATTAAGTGGTTTCCCAATATTATTCTTAATATCAACATTATCAGTAAGATTCAGGCACTAACATTCATATTTCAGAATAAGTTTGTGTGTTAAAGTTCAAACCCAGCACATAAAGCTGGTTCTTGCTGGTGATGGAAATGATTGATTTTTTTTCCCCCTAAATCCCCAAAGGCAAGCAGAAAAGCATGTACCTTAGCCCCCTCACTCATAAAAATAATTAAAAGCCTTGGCCTACACAAGAAATTAAACTGAATTAATCTAAAATTCAAAAGCAGAGGTGCCTCTTGTGTTCTATTCTATATCAGAGACAGAAGAAGAAATGCCATTTAAAGGTAAAGGGTAGAGTAAGTAATTAATGTCACTGAGGCAGAGATATTTATTAGAACTGAACCTGAATATGGGCTTCTACATTTAAAACTAGTGGTTTAAAAAAATGGGGCTCAAGGTTTTTGCCTGGCAAGCTGGGTCCAGTGCAGTAGCCACCATCCAGCCACAGGGGTGGGACAGGCAGCCTGGTCCCGCAGTAGGGGAAAGGGGAGTGTGATGTGACCCAGCCCTGTGCAGGGGGAGAGGTGACTTGACCTGGCCCCAATCCATCCTGCTAGGGTAAAGGTGTCATGGGCGGCCCTGTGGTGGGGGCCTGGCCTCACAGGGCAAAGGAGGCATGGTTCAGCCCAGTCCTTCCCTGCAGTGGCGATGAGTAGGAGATGCATGGGGGTGCATGTGCACTCCCTGAGAGTGCCGATGCACACCCTCACCGGCTGTGCTCCCCGCTTAGGCGAGGGGTGGGGGGGCAGGCGGAAGCACCAGTTCCTCCCCCCGTAAAAGCCACTGGGGAGCACCGTTGTGTTCCCAGAAGCAGCCGCAGCGATCAGCCGCCTTGCAATTGGCCACCAGGGCCCCCCCCTCCAGTCAGTGCCCCCCGCTGGTTGCTGACTGGTTGCTGGGGGGGGGGGGGCATGTCCCCTCCCAACTAAGGCGGCAGCAGTCACCCATGCTTCCCTATAAGGGAAAGGGGTGTGTGGCCCAGCCTTGCAGAGGGGAACAGTGCATGGCCTGTCCCAAACCCAGCCCTGCACGAAGAAGGGGGTGAGGTCTGGCTCCACTTGAGTATGCAGGGCTTGGGGTTTGGGTGAAAAGGGTGGCCATATTAATAGCCACTGCTCCCCTCCACACACATTTTCTGACCTGTGGGGAGCCCCACAGGCCAGGTGCAATGGCTCTGTAGGCTGCATATGGCCCACAAGTTGAAAGTTTATCACTCCTGGTTTAAAAAATAAATATGTACTCAATATGATGATGATCACTAAATACTGATAATGTGTTGCATCACTGTTGTAAAACAAGTCAGTAAAGTCAAGAAACATCAACTGGCAGAACTATTAAACAAACACAACACTAATTGGGTCACACACAAAAAGCTCTTCCTCTAACTTCATAATCATCTTATTAATGGATGTCTCAAAGCAGCACAAGGTGGGAATAAACATAGAGCACTCTTTTTGTAGCCAATTAAATGTATAAACACAAAATATAAAAAAGGTTGCCATGTCAGACAGCAAGTATATAAATTTATGGATGTGTACTTCCACAACTAAAAAAAAAATGAAGACCAGCAACTCTAAAAGTCTAACATTCAGAAATGTTCCTAATAGATCTAGTGTAGCATGAATAAGCAAATTTGTCTGGTTCTCTGAGTGTGCAGTTGAACAACACTGTATTAAAGCTTTTTAATTCCAAATAAAGGTCAGAGAACTTGTACACTATAAATGTTTATATGATATAATTTACAATCAGATAATGAAGTGAATGTAAAACATGTAAAAGTCTCTATATATTTCTGCATGTAAAATAAAGCCACCAGCGACAGTACTTTCTAGAGAATGTTTTCATATTCTGATGCAGATACCAGAAAGGTTAGGAAGGGGTCCAGAGAGAAAACAAGCAACTGCTTACTAGAGAAAATAAGCATACAAACAAAGCATATTTGGTTTGATCAAAAGCATGATAACAGATTTTAGCAAGTACTAAGCAGAGACCTGAAAAAAACAATAAACCTGAAGGGGTTAAAAATTCTCAAAATGACTTCTTCAAGTTATTAAAAAGAAAGGCCATATTCTTAGAAGACAATGGAAATGGCTTTCCTAGGTGTAGACTGCAGTAAAATTTACAAAGCACTGTAAAATAATCTGTAAAGAGGATGAAGCTTATACTAACGTTTATATTTGAGTTTCTTGGTGATAACTATCTGAAGTGAACCATATGGGAATTTCAGAGTGATATCACTTAGCTTAAGATTGGCATGTGGGAAGCCAGCAGATAAATGTGACAGGAAACAGTATGGTTACGTTAAAGGAATACATTCATATTACAACTATATTAATTCAAAGTTATTAGTAATAAATTCACAGCCTCTCACAACATGACAGGCTCTCATAGATGCACCATTGTGATCAGTTCTGACCTGGATAGCCAGGAACCTCTGACAGTTGACACTCAGCTGACATTTGTGGTAAGCCTATGAGGCATTAACAGTACTATATTGTTAAGTACAACTTGGAAATGTAATGAGGAAAATAATATTTTCCATTCCACTCAAGATATTAGCTAAAATATATTTCAAAGAAAGTTTTCTCCAATACTTCCTCAGATTAATTCCATATGTAAACGAACACATGCATATCATTCAACAGAATACAAACTACGACTACTGGACTTCAATAATATGCTTGCTTGTGGTACCTTTAAAAGAATTAAAATATACCCAAGTGGTATTCAAAAGAAAAGTTCTTTCATAAGACTGGCTATGACCTAACATTCAATAATACTCAGCTAGTTTAAGCATTCAGTGATAAATTCCAACACATGCAGCATGACATGAAGCTACATCACTAAAAAAAAAACCCAGAAACAAGTAAAGCTTACTGTACTGTAAAGTTGTAGAGAAAGGTTGCTCACTGGCCAAGAACTACAGATGTGTCTAGGTTTATAATTAAACAGATGTTTTAATGATAATTAAGGGATTTCAATTCAGTGCAACTGTCTTCCAAACAACCAGATTAAAATTCCTAGCACACAAGTCAAGTAATCTTTCTAAAATATATTTAACATGTGAGTGACCATTTATTCTTGTTGTTAGGTTAACTGAATTAAAAATAAATAGTAAAGGCTAGACAAGTCAATATTACATGGGAAAACAGGTCTGCAGTTTTTCCTTTAAGTAATGTTCAGAAACATTTCCATTTCTCAAAAGGTTCTTCTTTGAATAATAGAGCATAGTCATGAAAAATAGATTTTCCTGTTTGACTCCTCTGCTATGTAGTAGCACAGGGGAGACAAACTTGTATTACATCATTAGTATCCTCTTTGTAACATTTCTATTTTACTGATAATCTAGTTAGTCCTCCTAACACTGGAAAAGCCAGCATCTGGTAGTTGCCACAGTGTTTTGCAAACAAGCAATGTGAGTTTGACAATCTGTAATGTGTACTGATTACTCACCATATCCATGAATGCCTCCTAAAGGGGAAATTATTCACGTGCATCATGTTCACAGATCTTCCAACATTAGTGTTTTCCTTGTCAGATAGCTTTATCTGTTATGGTATTCATAGATGCATTCCAAAACAACTGCATAAGCAGTTATCACCAAGGGTTGTTGCAAAAATTATTTGTACTCCACAAAAATAAGCATCGCCAGGATCTGAAGAAAGACTTCATAAGGTTTTCTAGATACATGTCCATCCAGTTATGCCTCACTACTTACTTAAAAAAATAATATTAAACTAATCAAGATAAGATAACTGCTTATCCTAAATTATGCGAAAGGTTTGCCTTGATAAAATCCAAGTGGTTTTAGTATAAATTAAAGCATCTTCATATCCAGCATTTTGGACAGTTGGAAAAGGTTAGTCAAAAGATAGTTTCTTGTCATCCATGTTAACTCAGTGTTTGATGGAAAATGTATTACTTCAGATTGCTTTGCCATGTTGTCCTGTAGAAATGAATATTGCTTTTTCTTCTTTCTTAGACACATATTCATCAGTGGTCACTTTAATGCAATTTTCCTTTATTCCACGCCCAGGGAATAGAATGGTGGTTAATCAGCATGCACAACAAGAACAAACTTCTTTTTTATATTTGATTCTCTAGATTTATTTTCTTCATCTTAGAAAGAAGAGAGGAAGTACGCTTCTTCTGCTCCACAGGACAAGACTGCAATTAGACACCATCATGAGTACAAGGTACCGTCACGATCAAATTCATTTTTTGCTGTCTAACCCCATAATAAGGCTGTCTGTCTGCTCCCTTTGAGTAAAATGACTAAGCTATTGATTCTTTCACTGCAGTCTAGTTCTAATTTGATGTAATACTGTATATAAAAATCATGTGCATGGTTTCATATTTTGCCAAAAAATCAAAGCTTTAAGTCATATGTTATCTAAGAATTTTTTCTTTGCTGTCCTTTTTCCCCCAATTCAGCTCCCAAATAGTAGTTATTACTCGTGAGGCTCTGACAATATCCTTGGGAAGATTCTTAAGCCAAAGCTATACAGACCTTGTACATTTTAAAGCAATGCAGGCAACAGGCTCTTGCTTTCTTTCTCCTGACAAGAATTTCCAACATACCCTTTGAAATTCTTGTATCCTTTCATACTCTGCCTTTGCTCTCCAGTTCAGTAGCAGCTCAGGACACTTGCAGACTCTGTGGCACTATTACTCTGCAGCAGAATCTGCTCCAGGCTGCAGTGAATGCTGCCTGACAGAGGATGTGCTAGCGTCAAGGGGGCCCTCTAGGTGGGTTCTCCTGACACAGCATATCCTCCTGTGCTTTTTCAACAGACAGATGTAGAAAGGAGGATGGGGGTATTTAGGGGAAAAACAAACAAATAAAAATATCCAGTCTTATTTAAAACACCCTGTTTCTCTTAATAACTATGATCAGACAAAAATAATATAGAAATGTTACGATCCTAAAAGAATGTGTACCTAGGATAAAATATTTTATTATATCCTTTTCATGTGATGTTTAAAAGGTTTAGAGACATTTTCCTCCTTTCAGGTTCCTTGATCATAGTCCACTTCGCCACATTTTCACATGGTTTATGCAGCACCATGACTTTTAAACTTAAAATGACCAGTTGCCCTTTTACAGAGGAAATCCTGTACTCTGAAAGCAAACTACACCTTCAAAGGCATTAACACATGCCATGAAACTGTTTGATTAGGGAGGGCTGAAACTTGGGAGTATCAGGATAAGATATTGTTATATTTCCTTACACTTGACTTTCCTACCATCACAGTTCCATTTTAAATACCCCAAATTAGCCCTGTCACTATTGATGGCATTGTGAAACAAACTAACTAACTAACTAAGTAAAGTAAACTGTTTGAGTCTAACAGTGCTTTGGCAATGAATTAGTATTTATCTGAATTCAACAAGAAAGAACATCTTATTAGCCGCATAGAGACACCAACATTTTCATTCCTGAGTTTTAATTATTTTAATAAACATTTCAAATACTTCTTGTGCAAAATAAAATAGTTATCCTAATATAAAGGAGCTCTGGCAACAAATGTCCAGTTACAGTATGCATATTTTATTTAAGTATAAACAGGTATGAAAAAAGCAATACTTGAGAGTTTTAAGAGTGAAAATAGCAAATAACAAAAGTGTGTGTATTCAATAAAAAGTAAATTATTTAAATTACCTTTTTAAAGGACTGATAAAAATAGAATACTGTATATACAGTTGGGGCTGGTCCTGCTTTGAGCAGGGGTTCGATTGGATGACCTCCTGAGGTCCCTTCCTACCCTGATTTCCTATGATTCTATACCACTTCATACTGCATGTAAAAGGCAATTCCTACTACTCCTGTGTTGGGGCTTACACCAATATACATTTAAAAAGAAAATAAAAACAAATATTGTTAGATTTATAAAAGTGTGTGTTTCACATAACTTAGCAACATTGCTTCTCATTAGACTAACTCCCTATCCTTTTATTTGCCTGTGGTAAGATCCTCTATACTGAAAGCATGTCTTAGGTATTTGTAAAATGTCTAGCACACTGTGGCTGCTACACAAACCAACATTTCTATTATTTGTATTTAGTTATCGCTGCAGGGTCCCATCACACTGGGTGCTATGCAAAACAGAGGAGGTTGCAGGTCGTGCTTTGAGGAGGTTACAGGCTGAATAGAAAAGACAGAAAACATATAAGCAACATACTAATAGTACAAAACTTCTTATCTGCTTTTCTTTCTTATTTCTCTTTCTTTCTCGCTCTCTCTCATTTTTGGATTTGTTTGGACATATATGATTCTTAAATTTACCCATATTATTCCTGCATCCCAGCTGTTTAAGAACCCCAGATACTCTTCCATTTATTTACTGTCACTATACAGCAAGAGTTCCCTTTCCCTTCACAAATTGATCCGAGACCTGTTCACAGCAAAAGGCCCAGGTAAAATAGTCACAAATCCTTGTATATGGTCATAAGTGAACATACACCAACTCTCAAAGAAGGCACTATATTTTTCTCTTGCTCCTGTAACTACATTTGTTCTGACAGTGACCAGGGGAAGTTCCTGTCTTACAGCAATGCACAGTGCACAGCAGGCACCCTTTTCCCGTTCAGTCTTAACCTGCAAGATCCAAATACATAACAATATTGTAATAGTAAAATATAATAAAAAGCATGTCAGTTATGAGGATTAGACTCCTCCAAACTGATATAGGGTACAACTTATCTGAAAACAAGGGGGAAAGGAAAATTTGAGCTTACTAAATCCTTTTACTTTCTTAGTAAGGGTAAAATAATTTGATTTTAAATACTTTTTTTGTGATAATTTATCATAGTCTATGGAGCAATACACTGCTCAGCAAGCAAAGAAAACCTTTTAAGTATGTCACTGGTGGGTGATGATAATGGTATTATCATCTGTGGCAGTATGTGAGCTCAAGCACTTGCTAGTGGCCCAGTGTTCACATCATGAAAAGGTCAACACCGAATTTGGTAACCTTGTTTACTGTCTTAGCATAGTAGCCAAGAACTGGAGGGATGTGGAGTCTGAACTATGGTGTCAACTGCAAAGAGAATTTAAGGGCATGAGCCAAGTGTTTGGCACGGATCAGCGTGGAGAAACTTCTTTCCTAATCCTTTGGCTCTGTGTTGAAGATAGAAAATGTTAGCCACCAGGGAGGGCAATCTGGTATTTTGAGTAAATACTATATTTATTTTAAAGAAATAATTTCCTTTAAAACATAAAATTAAACTATGATGATTCTTTTTTCAAGGTCTAATAGGTTCACATGTTAAATATTTAATTCATCAGTTCTTATTTATAAACCTATTAAAAGCATTCTATAGTTGATAGTGATCAACTAGAAAAAAATGTAGCCAAAAATGGCTCAGTAAGCAGCATACTGTATTACTGAAACAACAAATAATGGACCATTTATATGTCAAATTTACAGCAAGCTTATTAATCACAGTAAATGGGAAAGAATTTTAGGTTAAAATTACTTTATCATCAAACATTTTTTCTAATCAAAAGAAACTCAATGAGTGATAAAGAAACACACATGAGTGATAAAACCCAGTGTATTGAAATAATAGGCAGATACACAGTGCTTTGTATGTTCGAAATGATGTATAAACATTAACCAACTATGAAGTTTGTGGAGTAATTGAATTATTCCCAATTTACAGTCAATGAAACTGAAGCCAGGAGATTATATGACTTGCCAAACACTTCTCAGTCTACCAGTATCCAGAGGTAAGTCTTTCACTAATACTTCTTTCCTGTAATATTTTGCAGGAATAATATCAGAAGCAAATACATAACCATCTTAACAACCTTTTTATCCTTAACCTTTGAAAATGTGGCAACTGCTTTTTGAGCAAAAGATTTATTTCATTTTCTATCATGTGCAAATCATGGAGCTTGTGGAAATGAAAAAGGCAAAAACTAGCATGTGAACCCACTATATCATCTAGATCAGGGCTGTCCAACTGGCAACCCGTGGGGTCTGTCAGTGCAGCTGCTGGAGTCTCTGCATTAGCATGGTTTTGGAACCCAGAAGCTGAACAGTGTCAGTGTTCACCTCTCTACCCCCTCGCCTGCCGCCAAAGTCAGTCTGTGATCACTACTGGCACTTAAAATCAATGACAGGGAAAAGAGGGCTGAGCAACAGTGATGTTCACCCCCTTGGTTCTGGAGCCATGCCAACACAGGGGCAGGGCAGGGGTGTCAAGAAGCCACCATCCTTCTGCCAGAGGTGGATCATCTTGCACAAAAGAAGCCCCATGGTCTGAATCCAGCTCAAGGGGCCAAATGTATTGAATGCCCCTGATCTACTTCATTTGTACAAATGTGATTATGAACATTCTGTTTTAATTATAAAGTATGACCCTGTGAGTTGCAACATTTGCTTTTTCATTTCCAGAAGTCAGGCAGATATCCTCAGTAGATTAAAGTTTATAATACCCACAAAGCTCTTTCAAAGAATATGAAAAAGGAAACTGATTGTTGTGAACAAACACTTTGTTACTTGAGTATTCATGTTCATTCATATGCTGTAGTGTGAAAACTACTAATAGCATGTCAGCATGGAGATAACTATTCCTAGATTTAAAACACTGGAAGAAGGCACATATAGTGAAGGAGGATCCAGGGAATTACAGACCAGTCAATCTGACCTTAACACCTGGAAAAATAATCATGGTACAATTCCTCAAGGAATTTATTGTGAAGCACCTAGAGGAAAACAATGTGATCAGGAACAACCAGCATGATTCAGCAAGAGTACATTATGCCTAACCAGCTGGATTTCTAGGATAAATTGATATCTCCATTAACAAACTAAGGAAACATAGACTAGACATGTAGTCTAAACAAGTAGTCATAAAAGGCTCAAACTCTAGTGGGGAGAAGGTATTGGGTGGGATTCCTCAGGGGTCTTTCCTGGGTCTGGTCTTATTTAACATATTTGTTAATGATTTGAAAGTGGGATTGAGTGCACGCTTAGCAAATTTGCAGATACCAAGTTGAAATACAGATGCAACACTTTGGAGGGTAGAATTAGGATCCAGAATGTCCTGGATAAACTGGACAAATGGTCTGAAATCAAACAGATGAAATTCAACAAGGACAAGACCTGCACTTGTGATGTAATAATTACACGCACAAATATGGACTGGGGGATGACTGGCTACGCTGTAGTACTTCAGAGAAGGACCTGGGGTTACAGTAGACCAGGGGGCAAAATATGGCCCATGTCCTAGATCCAGCCCACCAAGGGGTTCCATCCAGCCTGTGGCGGGTCCCTCGCCTCCACCCGACCCAGATGTGGGAGGCAACCCGGGCTGTGGTACATGCAGCTGGTCCTGCCACCCTCAGGCACATAGTCGGGTTGGGGCAGTGCAGAACAGCTCCTGGCACTCCTGGTGACAGCAGCTCCTTTCACCTGCTGCTGCCAGACCCAGCCCCAATTCCTGGGCCCCCCAGCCTGTCTACCCTTCATCTACTGCCAGGGTGATGGACAGATTAGGTGGGCAAGGTTTCCATTGAGACTAACCCAGGGCCTGCGTGGGCACGGTGTGCTTGGCCGGGTGGATAGGATGGAACTGTGGGCAGGTGGGAATGGTGTCCAAGAGTGGGACAAGCAGGCAGGCTGGGGTTGGGATCAGGGGGCAGTGACGGTGTGGGACTGAGGCCTGGGGCAGAGCCGCAATTTGTTCCTGGCATACCCCTGCCTGCAGAACCGGTGCCTGTTGCAAGGGTGTACTGGGAGTGGATCACAGCTCTGTCCCGGGCCTTGGGCCTCAGGCCCTGGCCCCACATTGTCGCTACCCCATGATCCTGCTCCATGATTGTGGCCCCAGATCCATCTGAGCCTGTCCTGCTCCTAGATGCCTCTCCCCACCCACCCAGCCAAGTGTGCTTTGCCTACATTGGTCATGGGCTGGTCTCCATGGAGACCCCAGGATCACTGGGTGTTGACAGTGTGGGGCTGGGACCCAGGGAAGAGCCACTTAGGGAGTTTTGGTGAGCTGTTGGAATGTGAGAGGGATGAGGTGCTGACCCAGCCTGGCCCTGCAGAGATGGAGAGGTGCTAACCCAGCCTGTGACAGCTCACCAAAACTCCATAAGTGGACCTTGGGCCCAAATAATTACCCACCCCTGCAGTAGATCATAAGCTGAATATGAGCCAAAATTGTCATCTTGTTGCAAAAAAGTCCAACAGTATACTAGACTGTATTCAGCGTTCCCTCTAAGCTGCACGCATGCATGGCCGCACACAATAAAAAATCATACCGCGCAATAACTTTTTAATACCACTCACACTGTGGTGTACCAATGGGGAGGAGGGGCAGTAGGGGGCTATGGACCCTGGGTGTTGGCCTGGAGCGGGGTGGGGGGGTATGCCCAGTGCTGTAGGAAGGGGGCACTGACACTCCGCTCACTGCATCAGACCTGGCTTTGAGGCACTAGCTTCAAACGATCCCCTGGTCACCAGACCCTAGGCCCCTGTCAACTGGCCCACTGGCCCCTGTGTGGCTACACCCATCTCTGGAGCTGGGCCCCTGGCCCCTGTGTGGCTCTGTGCCTCATGCTACACCTACTCTGGGCTTAATATTCACTAGAGCCTTGAGCCTGCCTTTGACAAGATTCAAGGCTATCAGATACCCCATGGGCACTAATGGGACCTCCATTTACCTCCCCTTATTGTCCCAACCCAATTAGCTGGTTTAAACACAACATAAATACAAGCCCCCATGCTATAACATAAACAAGAACAGCAGAAGCAGCCCTATGTCCCTTTAAGAGGGCAAACCTTCTTTCACCCCTTGTCTCAGTGTACTTCCCAGCATGGGCTCCTTGCGAGTTCCCCAAGCCTCAGTGTTTCTGCAGCCAGCAGAGCAATCCGTCTAGCATCCCAGGGTTGCTGGGGCTCCTGGCCAGGAGCTCCTAACCCTGAGGCTGACAGGGCTAGACTGGCTTACCAGACCAAGCCCCAGACTTATGTACTCCCAGGGCTCTCTGTCACAGATGGTTTAGTCAAGGATGATCCTGCCTTGAGCAGGGGATTGGACTGCATGACCTTGTGAGGTCACTTCCAGTCCTACTTTCCTATGATCCTACTTAGTACAAGAGCAACTTAAAGTCTAAGACCCAGCTCCTCTTCTGTCCAGTAGATACCTGAGCTGTTGCAGCTACTCATTCAAAAAATACTTGCCTTAGAAATATGATATTTCTTGCTTTAGAAATATGATATTATACCATCCATTTCTTGCCTTAGAAATATAATATTATGCTATCCAAGGTGGCATGCAGCTCTCTCCTCCTCTCCATGGGCATCATATACTTTCTACACCTCAGGAGCCAAATTCTGTGGAAAGCAGGAAGTCAATGACTCCCACCTTTTGCCCAAACCTAGGAAGGGAATTGTGGGTTCTGCTTCCTATTTGCTCTGCTGTTTATACATTTTGTATTTATAAATTATTGGACAAAAAAAATAAGTAGCATTGGAAGTAAAGACCAGAACCCAGAGATCTTACCCTCTTAATGACCTACTCAGCTCACTAGGATACAGAGTAAAATTCTATCTTGTCTGGTCATCTGGCTCTAGGCCTCTTACCACCCAGGTTGTGAGCTTCAACAGAAGAGGTACAGAATGCCCTCAGCCCTACTTAACCATTAACCTAGTATTTAGGATACTTTTCAGGTTGTGGATGCTATAGGTTCAACTCCCCTCAAACCAAGCAAGGTCCTATATCCCAGAATTTCAGCTCGAATTGGTAGTATGCTAGTTTAGAAGAATGCCAATGTCTCCCTGAAGGAAACTAAAGTCCTTCCCTCCTGATCACAAATAAAATAAGATAATCCATAGAAGTTCTTACTGCTTCTGAAGAAAAGTCTAACTGTTTTATTCTGATCATTACTGGTGTTATCTAACTAACTCATCTCTTCCTTTTAGTGTGGGCAAGGAGTCTACAACATGGGTCCTAGAAAATTAGCCCTGCCCTGTGATGTAACTGTTCTTATGCTTTTCCCTGCCCTGCCCTCACCTCCTCACTGGCTTACATACAAGACACTATTGTCCCTTGTCCTGACTGGGGAAAAGCAGCAATTAGTTTATTTCCAATGTGAAGAAAAGCGTAAGTCTGCACTTAGTATATATGCTAAAAAACTAGGGTATTTTCAAATGGGGTCAGGCTGATAACTCAGTTTGCCTCCCCAATTTCCCTGTTCATTACTGAAAGCAGATTTTATGCTGCCTCTAAGGCATTATGTTACTCAAGCAACTGCTAGTTAATACAAGACTGACATTGCACTGGTTGTTGGTATTCAGACCTACTCTGTGACAGAAAAATGTCTTGTATTAGATAACCATAAATTCCAAAATGATAACATTGCCATAATATTACCAAAAATAAACATGAATACTATACAGCATTACTGAATCTCCCAGGAACAATTTGGTAGAATGTATTTAAAGAAACCAAATCTTTCTCCCACAGTTGTAAAGAAGAACTGTTAAGAAAACCTACCATCATTTAGTATTAATCGAGTATAAAGAACTGAAGTCCAGTCAGATACATTTCCAGCAAATAATCATGACTGGTGCTTTTATTCAAGAATTACCTCTTTCTACTTTTGTTGTTGGTTTATTTATTTAAATCAAAGTAACAGTTTGTATCATTCCATTCTGAAAGATATTAGTCATTTGTACTCACAAAAGATGCATATAAAAACCATTTCTTCCACTATAA